TGTATGATTGATTTGTGACTCCTAGAGACAGTGTTCCTGAGAACTTCTTACCAGTAACCCTTTAAACTATCAGTATTCACATCAACAGGAGATAAGCAGTGCAATAGCTTCAAGAGAGGTTTTTAAAGGAACGCTTGTGCTCTTTTTTGACATTCCCGGAAGTTCTTCGAGCCTATATACGAGCTGTTTCTTCTGATCTACGTATGAGCTCCTACGAAGTGCAAAAAACCGCTGTGTCGAACGAGCGAGACACGCTCTGAAGGACATTAGTCATGAGGTTATTAGTGCCACAAGAACCTTATTTTAGTAGTGCCGACTCATCAACGTTTCATTGTTCAGTGGATGAACATGTTGGATTTCGAACTCATGCTCAATTCATGCTTCCAGTACTAAAGAGGTTGGGTCCCTGCTTCTGGATCTCTTCGAGAGTGTCGTTGAGACGATATGCACTGAACGGTTTATCCGGCGAGTGCACTCAGCAAAACTAATTGGTCGACCCGACCGCTCACCTCTCTTAAATATGATCTCAAGAGAGGTGTGCGGTACTATCAGAGTTCATTCCTCTAATACACTCCTTTCCCCAGTAGAAAGACAAGGAAACATGTGAACAACAGCATTTGTCTTTCTACTTACAAGGCAAACGAAGTATCCGAAATTAGAATCTACACATCAATGCCATATCGTTTCACGGGTCTTCGTATGCTACTTGATCGCCGCAGCGAGGGTCCTGGAGAGCACGGTAGAGCGATGTTGACGTACAAATCACAAGCATCCTCGTCGTTGCTTCTTAGCCGAGTGTCATCCAATTCTAACACGTCGAGCAGGGTTTTCAACTTGTCTTCGCAACTCTAGCTTGTCCTTGTATTTTCATGTGTAATTGAGTTGCGTGCTTCCACGGCGACCTCATAGTTAACTTTCCCAGACTGTTTTACGACAACTTCTTGCTTCTGTGCGAAGTGTGGGGCTTTCCACATTGAGCATACACGTCGTATCCCTTTTTGAACTCCTTCAGGCACCGTTCTTTCTACCGCATTGCTCCTTCATCTTCCTTCGATTTTCTTCCAAAACCGCATGAGAACTGGATGTGCTACATTTTATGCGTGTTTTATGTTAGCTGTAGCTCGACTTTTTCCTTGATGCAGCATCCTAGACCTTTGTCGAATACCTCTGGGAAAGTTTTCGTCAACTCTGTCCAAATCTGGGGTTGCAGTTGGCTTCCGCGGCTATCATCTCTATGTGGTACATCAAATTCTCATTTGCTCGAATCCATTCGAGACCCAAGAGTGAGCTGTGCGGCGCCACATAGGCGTCTCCTTCAGTATTGACCCCTTTCATGGTAAGCTTGTATTTAAGCTTTCCGTATGTCACCATGGTATCTCCGCTTGCGTTTTTCACGACCATATTGGTATTTTCCAACGTTGGTGAGACCATCTTCTTCCAGATCTTCTCCTGATGTCTAATCCTGTATCACGGAGAAATTTGACTGCGTAGTAGTTCAGTACAGCGTCAATGTACACACGGGAAGAGTTTGCTTGAACTGCTGCATTTGCAGTCTTGACGATTCGCATTTGTTTTCTGGGACCTCTGATGTTTCTGTTCCTTAAGTATTTTACTTCAATATGCTGAGTTTTCTGCGTCTCCCAGTGCGCCCATCAGTCCTATTTTCTCGTAAACTGTCAAAACTTTTCCTTGTGACCGACATTTCTGCATTTATTGCGGAACCAAGTTTTTGCTTTTCATCCACGTGCGGTGGTTGCCTTCACAGTTCCAACATCTTATTTCCTTCAGCTTCTGTATGGACATGGCTTCCACTAGTTTCATAGTTCCGGCAACGACTTCACTGTCTCTCTTGAGGCTTAAGAAGTTTTCGCATTCCTGATGCACTTGTTGCAGTGAGACTGTTTTACGTGCTTCACTCTATCCAGTATTGTGATCAGACTCTGCCTACTTTCTGCCTCCTGCTGTGATTTCAATCCGAAAATCCACAGCAAACATTTGATACCGTCTGAGTCTAACTCGTGAATCTTTGCTCTTTCCCAAAATTCATTTACTCGACCGGTGTGAGTAAGTCCTCTGCGTGGTCTTCTATAACTTGAGACATTGACATCTCGTGGTAAATAATGACGACTTGAAATCGAACAACTGCTGAATATGTCCACCGTCTCGGTCAAGCCAGTTTCTGTCACATCTCTTTGCAACACGTGCCTTTGGTACTTTTCAAAAAATAGGGGATCCAATTTTTTGCAGGGCAGTCTGACCTTGGTGCTTCCAGAAAGCTGCTTTGCATCTTTAGAGAGAGCGAAGAAGAAGAACACATCCTTGTATCTTATTATGAAAACCAATTTGAGAAGTTCATGTCGGCATCCCGGGTCGAAAACGAACTTTTCTATGCGATTGCTCACCGCTGCCACTAAGCTTGGAAATACCATGTGCTTGTCGTGTTGCAATCTCCCTATCCACGTTCTGGAATGCGATCCAGAAGTTTTGCCATGATGGTGGTCGTATCCATTTTTCAAATGTCGATATGGTTGCCCGGTGAGATACGTAGCTTCTGATACCTTCGGTTTGAAAGGCACGCTACTGGTTATCCGAGCGCTAACTACGTGCTGTTTCGAACTGTGCAGACTAGCAAGGAAAAACCGAGTTCTATCGGCTGGATTCCTGCTCAGTCGGATATACGGGTACACTATACGGCGAGTCTTTGGTACTTCTTTCTTGTACTGTAGGAACGCTAATTTTTTTGCTGTCTGCTGTGACCAGAGATCCTTGTCTTGGTTCAGATCTGATCCTTGTCCTGTGCAGACTTCCACTGTTTTCTGGTCTCCTACATCCTGGTCTCGTCGCTGTGAGTATGGATATCCTGATCGCCACTGTTGGATCCCTGCTTCTTATTGTCTTGGGGGGGGATGGTCGATAAGACGATTTGCACTGAACGATTTATTCGGCGAGTGCACCACACAAAACTGACTGATCAATCCTACCGCTCATCTTTCTCAAATACGATCTCGAGAGAGGTGTGCAGTATCATGTTTTATCAGAGTTCATTCCTCTGATGCAGCAAAAAGGAATCGCATTTTGAGGTGTTTTGTCTTGAATTTTTATGTTGGTTATCTAAATGACGAGGTCACCAATGGATAGTGTTTAGATAGATGATTTTCCTCAAGCAGTTTATAAGAAGTTCTCCTCTCGTGGTGAAGCGGAAGAATATTTCAATGCAAGGCAGCCAAAGAAAATTGAGCGTAGGTGTTTACATTGCTATAGTCCATTATTTCAACATGTATCGATAATCTGTTGCCTAGCAGTTCAGAAGATTTTGAAGATTTTATCTTGGTTTTTTTATAACTTGTGCTCGGCGCTTTCTTTGCTTAAAGCGTATCCCTTTTGATCAAACATAGCATGGTTCTCTTTGCGGCCGTGTTAGTTAAGGTTCACGGTGAACGTGTGGGAGTTTAGATTGGCGGTGAAAATTCATGCCTGCTTACACGACCATCTTCATGCGTTGTTGGGATATCTGATGAAAATGATTGGTTTGTTGGGTCTAAAGTCTATATTTAAGTCCCGGTATACGAAACCCGTTTATCAGAAATATATCGGATATTGTAAGAATGCTTTGTAGCAATGGTTACAGTGAGGACTTCATTATAGCTAATATACTTGAGAGTATTTATAGGAATGAACTAGTATGTTACAAATACTCTATTTCTAATGAGGGGAGCATAAGCAGATTAGTCCGAGGATAAGATTATAAGTTCACTCTGTCAGGCGGTGTACAGTACCCCCGAAAATTGCGCGTGAAGTTAAAAATGTCGCGTCGTGAACGCACACAATCAGGCGCGCTATAGTCGGTTTAGTTTGAGGTGCGTTTAATAGCTTCAGTTATACGGTTTTTGCATAACCGGCTGATGTACGTTTCACTTTGAGGTCAACCCAGGCGCGCGCTCAGCGCGCTGAGGGGAGGGGGTGCGGTTGCCACCCGCGCAACCCGACCGACCGCGGCCAGGCTACGGTGCCCACCTTGCCAAAAACAGGTGGACGTGGTACTCCCAGGCATTGTTCACACTCTGCGGTCCAGCGTTTCTCTGAGACGCGGCGGTTCTGCGAAAAGCTCTCGATACATATCGATGGCGGCTAGGCGATATGTATCGAGAGCACAGCTACTGCTTCGCCCAACCGCGGTTGGGCGAAAGGCAGTAGCTGTGTATCGATTTCGCTGGCGAAAAGCGCCACCGCGATGGAGCTAGCGCTTTGTCGAAGGCGAAAAACGTCGCGGTTTGGCGAAACGCACGTCCTCCCAACCGCCGTTTCGTCAGGGCCTGGAGACTGTGAACAATGCCTCAGACCCAGGCCCCGTTGCGTGCACGCGCGAGCAACACAATCAATCCCACGCGCAATTCGGGGGCACTGTACACCGCCTGACAACCTGAATCTATAATTAAATGGTCCGAGGTATCTCAGTGAAGTTTTCATTTAAATTGGTGTCCATGCAACTCAGTCTCTTTTAACTGCATGTGTCGTATAGTATTTTCGGATAGTTATGATGTAACATCAACTGGTAGTCTGTTTTTCGTGCACACGATGTCTTGCTCACGTTATCCAATAAATTTGCATTCTTACACTTCTCAATCTTTATCGTTTCCAACTTTGTTCCGTATAAAATCTGCAACTGATTTTTTCTCCCTTTTCTTACTGAGGAGCACGGAAGGAGGAATGTGCTTTTGCTCGGAGGAGGAATATGCTTTTGCTCGGTTTCCGTCTAAGGGCACGTGCGAAACGGAAGCTGAGCTATCCCTTGGTTTCCGACCCCTCAATAACTCCATTTATTAGATTAGAGTGTTTGTTTATTCGCTACAGATAGTGTGTTCGTATGAGCCGCGAGAATTTTCACCAAATTTTGTTCGAATCTGACAGAAAATCGCCAGTCTCAGTAGCGACTGAGACTATCGACGAGAATGCGGTATACGGTTTTCAATCAATAAAAGCTTCCGATCGCTGAGCCTAAAATGGGACTCAGCCGAGCTAAGTTAATAACCACTGCAACAACAGATGTCGGACGCAGATCTGGTGGGTGTTACAGGTTATGCGTACAGTGAGGACGTAAGCAACTCAGCTTCGCGGTATCCCCACCGCGGTAGGACTTAGTTGTTTGAGGAGGCATTGCATTTGCGGGTTCTATCCTTGCCATGTGCAAGATGGGGAGGTCCGCAGCTGTAGGACGTCCCACTTTTGCCGTCTAGAGAAACGTGGGAGTAAAGATGGATGTTTCTCTATTACTCCGCCCGCTATCCGTAACATTCAAAACACGGGTCGGCACCAACTTCTCACAGCAAACATGTTGGCAACGTAATTGCGCAGTTAACAACAATGCTGTGAGAGGGCTCAGGCAAGTGGGCGTGTCTAGCTAGGCTAGGATTCCGAGCAGGGTTATAAGTAAACACACATCTTCATTCCCAGAAGCGGCACAGTTCTAGATCTGCGCCCTCGCTCGCTTTTCACATGACAACGATCATCTGCAGTGGTAGCGTACAGTGTGTCTTGTGTGTTCAATGGGGAAGTGCTGCAGTATGTCGGTAAACTACTAGTTAGGGCACGTCGCCGCGACATGGTTGTGAAGTCCTGTGGTTCATAGCTACATGCCTAGCTTTGAATTGCCACGGATTTTTGAGGTTCGCTGCTATGTCGTGAAGAATTTCTCTTTAGTGGCTTTTCCCGAGCCGAACATGGACAAATACTATGCGGTCGCACGCGGTTACTCAGTTGGGGTGTTCACTGATTACGAGGACGTCAAGAAATCTGTATGTGAGTAGTCTTCCATCATAGATAGATCGCTTTACATTATTCTTGCAGATAGAGGGTTACCCTCAACCACTACATAAAAAATTCGATAATTTGGACGATGCGGTATCGTATTTCAACAAATATTTCCGTGGAACAGAAAAAGGTGTTCTATTGACAAGAGTATAAGAGTTGTGTTCATCCTACAAGTTCAAAAGTGTTCAGTTCAAAGTTCTTATTTATAGCAGAGAACGGCAGTCAAGAAAAGACCAAGACAACTGAAGAAGCCTCGAAAAAGGAGGGGAAACCTATAACCTACTACGCAGTAGCACGAGGACACACAACAGGAGTGTTAGTCATGCTTATTGTACTACCAAATTTCCAGGAGAAGCTCGGCACCAGCGTAATTGAAAAGGACTACCACCCGGCATAGCCTCTACGTCCCTTCTTCTAATCAAGGATCAGACGAACAGCTCAGACGACCACACTTATGGGGATAGTCTCGCAGAAAAGACAGCTTCTACTGAGCTTGAACGCTGTCGGGGGGGGGGGGACACGGAGGCGCAGCTGAGTGTTCGCCCAATTACGTTAGCGCCAGCGTTCATAGTCATCAGGACGGAGTTCGCAGTGGCGTCGCTAGTAGCATACTTTCGCGGTGCGACCTGTTGGAGTGGGTTCATGCCTAATTTCGCTATGACCGCGCGATCGTAGCGATTGACACCAGCAATCGTTTGGTGCCTACTGCGAGTTTATAGCAACCAGGTAACGAAATATGGCTTACTCTTGCTGCGCAGCATGACTAGCGAGCATTCAGTCAGCTGGATGTTGAAATGTCCTACTGTTCGATCGCTCGCTCTACGTCCACGCTTTTATCTTTGTTCACGACTACAGCTTCGCACTCTGCCGCCTTTTCATTTCAGTTTTGAGCGAAAGTCTCCTCATATCCCCATTTTTAGCTTTACCTCGTGGGAGGAGTGCAAAAAACAAACAACTGGTTTCAAAGGTTCAAAATTCAAGAAGTTCGATAACGAAGACGAAGCGAAAATGTTTGCGGAAGGAAAAACTCTCAAACAAATTGGTGAGATTCTGAAACCTCGTTCTAGGTGTGGAATAGCATCTAGATGCAGTCATGGACATTGTGAAGGCAACGTGCTTTACTGCGTTTTCATGAACTTACGAGCGCTTGGTTTAGAAGAAGCGAAGTCCAATCGCAAACGTGACGCAGCCACTTCTAGTGGAGCCGATACTCCTGCGCCGCAAAAAAAGCAGAAGAAGTGAACTCAATGATTGTTTCCCTGTTTTGCTTGTTTAATGCCTGCCAAGTTACCAAGTTCATAACCTTGGCTGCACTGCTCTTCGCTTTATATAGCCTTGCTATAGTTTTGATTACTACCTCGCGCTCTTTGAACTATTAGCATGATTATGCCATCACTCGGTGATCAAATAAACATAGTCTCACGTTCTGTGATGTTTTTGTAAAGAGTGCTACCCTCCTTCAGGTATCGAAAACATTTCGTTTGACTAAATAAATTGATTTAGCTTTATCTTATCGTTAGCGATGTGGTTCTGCTGCATAGTTTCCTCTTATATAATTAGGTGGTTATTATGAACGGCACAGTTTCTGTTCTAATATTGTTCTTGATGTTTAGGTATGACAGTAGATGAGCAATACCAAATTATTCTAGTGTAAAGGAATGTTTGTCGAGTATGACTCACTTTTCATTTGGCTTTTTGGTTGAACTCCTATGTAATGAACGACTACGTTGGAGATTCTTTAAATTCTCCCATCTACCCTCCTACACTATGATAAGCTTCTACTTCATAAAGGTTAAACGCTGGTCTATGGCAAAAGGGGGCTACTATGCTGTTGCAAACGGTCGCAAAGTCGGTGTGTATGGTTCGTGGGATGAGTGTCGTGCGCAAGTCGATGGATTTTCTCAGGCAAGGTATTTCCTCAGAGTTTTTAGACTTTATCCGAGGCGTTTCGAGAGAATAATTCTCTATTCTTTACTCTTCCTTTCAGATATAAGAAGTTCGTCTCTAAAAGCGAAGCTCTCGCATTCATTGCCAACTACCAGCTGGGGCGTAAGTCTTTTTCAAACCTTACCAGTCCAACAAACATCACTAGACTCTTCGATAGTAGCGATTCCTTGTATATGGCTTCATTTTTTGTATTTCCGTTGCTTTAGGCGCCTCCAGCAGCAGTTCGTCTGTTTCATTTTCCAACAACGAAGATGCTCAGGTTAACGAACATTTTGAAATTGCCATTTTTTCTGTTTTGCCCATTTCGGAGTATTCTATGTTCAAACGCTTTCTTCAAAGCTTAGTTCTTCAGTAGATTCGATGCCAACATCGGTTCCTAACGTTCTAAGTAGCACTTTGTTGATTCATTCTAAACTTGAACCTGTTGCTCTGCAGGCACGTCTTTCCACTATGCTATAACTGCGTACTGTCCGTAAGCTTCAGTCAAAGTTAATCTGAAGTTCTAGCCCTGCCACACTTCAGTAACGCTTACGATTGACCGAACTGGCGATAGAATCCATGTTCCCCTGGGCCTCATGCGTAATAATATTTTCACAAAATAGACAATGAGGATTCGATCATATATGAGGTCGTCATACCTGGTTACTTGTGGATATATAGAGGTGTGAAAGAAAGCAGAAGAGCGAGAGCTATGAGCCTCATCTTTCAGAAACTGGTACATTTAGCTACCTATTCGTACAATTTGGTTAACATCGCTCCGAGGTATCTAGTCGAAGCAGAGTTTAACACTTCTTCTACGGTGAACACTCGAGGGAAACGAAGTCTTCAAAGTTTATACATTTGACCTGGACCGAAGCCATGAAGTTCATACCTTATGAGGGTTTTCTAGAATACCATAGATGCCAAACAATGTTCTTTCAAATGAAAGAGAACAGAAGTTTTCTCCTTCATCAGGGCCCACTTTGATGCGTCCCACCCGTCGAATGAGGGGTTATTGTACAGCAATGGTGGAAGCGTTCCACTAGGGGCGCTGTATTTTGGCGCTTAGGGGTAGTGTTTGGGGTTCAGGGATTTTTTTTAAAACAACGCTGTACCCTCGCCTTACTTGGCCCCCGTTTTCTTCGGGGAAACTGGTTCAGGCGAATCGGGAAATTGGTGGGAACAATTTGTTAAGAGGTAGGAAGGTTAAGAATGAAGCTCATACTGTAAGGGGAGATTTTGTGAAGAGGGGTATACTGATACCGACATTTCACCCATACGATCCTTTACCCTGTGAGGGAGAAGCATATAGTTTGCAGTGGGGCAGACATGGAATTATACATGTTTAGAAATAATTCTAGTGAAGCGGGGTATCCAAGCCACCCCCGCTGCTTCCAAAAAATTCACGTTCGCGAAGCCTAATTGTTCAGTAATGGAAAGCATGTTTACTGCTCACGTTGTTGTCATATTTAGAGTCATTCTTCGCCGTTCGTGTTAGTTACTTGACCATTTTTTTCCTTCAGAAAAAGAATACGTCTCGGAAACGAAAGTATGCTTTGGAGTCATCTGCTGACGCTTCAACTTCTCAGCTTCCTAAACGGTTAAAGAACTGGTTAGTACAAACGAGTACATTTTGCAGTGGCAGTTGACAGAAGTGTGTACGAGTTCGTATGTTTCATAGACGGTGTATCAAAACATAGGGATACTCCAGTTTCTTCTATTCCTAACTTGTTTTGCACTGGGGAATGCAGTGGTGCCAAAGCCGAGAATACGGAAACGGATGCCCTGTACAAGAAGGCAGATCGGGGGATAAACCAGTCTCCACTGGCAAGAGCCCGGTCTCGCGCTACTCGAGACATCAGGTGCAGCAGTGTCATTCTAAAGATGCCAGCTGAAGTCAGAATGAAATGTTTTTCAAAAACTCCTAAACGAAGAATCCCCCCGCAAGGACAACCCACAGATAGAGGCGACGGCAGGTTCTATCAACTTTTGGACAGGAGATGAGATCCGTCGAGAGTTGACAATGTGAAGGATAGGAAGGCAAACTTCCTCCCTTTTTCTAAGAAACGAAGCATCTTTCTGTCGTTACGTTGTTGAGGAAATAGATGAGAGTGTGCTACTCACGCACCCGGAAGAATGCCGGGTGAAGCAACATTGTTTCAGTAAACAGAAACGAGGCTGAATTGCTTCAACTACCGCAGCATCAAGTTGACTCTGCATGCAATGAAGTTCTATGAGCGGTTTCTCAGAACTAGACGAAGGGAACTCGTCCCAGTCTTGCAGTGAGTGTTTGGCTTCATGCCAAAAAGTGCACCACTGCTGCCGATCTTCATAGCTGGACAGGTTACTGAGATGTGTCGTGGAAGGCGGTGACCATGTCCTAGTCTTTCTTAACTTTGAGAAGGCACCAGCCGGTACCTCAGCCTGTGCTCTGAATAGCACCCAGAAAACGAAACGATGTGGAAGATCTTTTTGTCATAGTTAAGAACATGTATGATGAAGCAGCTATACGCACCCCACACGGCTTGACAAAGGCGGTAGAAGTCACGGTTAGGGCACACCAAGAACCAGCCCTGAGAGGCAACATGGATGAAATGGAGGAGTTGGCCGGCATCCCCTGTGACACAGGTGCTGCAGTACACTTAAGGGCAAGGTAGTTCGTCACATGAGCAGCACTCGCTGGCGGTGCTCTCCGCCAGCGAGTGCTGCTCATGTGACGAACGCGGCTATGCGTGCTTATATGGCAGCCCCACCCATTTGAAGTGAGTATGCGGAGATGGACCTGCGGCTGAACACGACTGGGCGACGACAGTCAGAAACGAAAAGTCAGGGCGGTCACACAGACTCCAGTTGAAGGCACAGTAGCAGCAACTGCTATGTTTTGGCATGTGATGAACAAGCCTGAGGACCACTCGATGAGGGAAGTGTGGGGTTTCGAATCACAGGGCAAGCGACTACGAGAAGCGCCGAGGGAAAGATGGAAGGACATCATCAAGAAGGGCCTCACTCAAGTGAATGCCACGACAGAAGATGCACTGAATTGGAGCAGATGGCCACGTCTGACAGTAACAGCGGACCCGACGATCGACGCGGTTTTAACGCTAGAGGAAAGAAGAAGAAGGATAACATCGAATCGTTTTCGACTGCTTAACCAACGTTCAACTGTAAATTGTAGGTTCTTTAGCAAGTGTGATAAACACTGGACATTGTCAGCTGACCTTGAATAGGAGGAAATCTGGAGAGACCTATAGGGTATATAACAGACGTTAAGCAAAGTATTCGGTGCGATATGCCGTTAGAGATTAGTTCTACAGGGTTCGACACGTAAAGCGCGCACTATTGCGTGCGTTTCAACCAAACTGGTTCCGATACACATATGATAAAAAAATGACAAGTTTTTGTGACTGGGACCTACCATTGCGAATCCGCGACTATTGTTCCCAGAAAATGTCTGAGTTAGCTAGAGGCGGAATAATCTCAGAAAAGGTGGCCAAGGTTTGTTGAGCATGGGGATTCCGTGAGTAACCATGACGTCGTTACAAAACGCCTAGCGAGTGTGGAATAGCAAAAATTTGAGGTGTTCCTTATTTAGTATATCCACTGTGTTTAAAAAAAGCTTTCTTTAGCGGTCCTGAAACATGGAAAGATGTCCCGGTTGTTTATACCGATGGCGCCTGTAGCAACAATGGAAAACGTGGTGCTAAGGTAGAGCTTTTCTCTGCTTTTCTTAATACAGCTGGATGTGATTATAAAATTAGTAACTCCATGCCATTGCTCTCTGGTATTCGAACCAAGGTGCGGACCAACCTTTCACACCTCGTTTATTCTCGCCCAACCAGAAAATTTTACATGTTCTCAGACACTTCTTCTGTTATGACTACGTTTAAAGACAGCTCCCGCGATAAAAGTATCGTGGATAGGATGTTCAGTTATGAAACAGTAGTTCATAAGTAATTCCCCAGAAAAGAAAAAAGCAAGAAGAGTCCTCAAGAACACCATAAACAAAATCGCGCCCTGACAGTCACACCTTCTTGCGGCCTCTGTGCAAGCCCTGGCTCACAAATCACTTTATCACATCTCCCAGTAGTGGATATCATCGAATGCGAAGAAAATAATACAAAAAACAACAAAAACAGAGGAAAAACACTTGAAAAGAAAATGGAACATTTGAAAAGCCGGCGTCCGAAGCGTCCGATAGGATCACGGTAGCGTGCATATTTTAGTGTAGTGAAGTGCGTCGAGCTTTTGCACCACGAAAATTGGGTTGCTCGTGAATTTTACGCGTTTTATCTTGCGAGATGCGTTGGGGTTGACTGTATGTGCTCCTGATTAATAAAATGTTATAAAGGCGAGCAGAATCATTCATGGGCATGAACGCTGTTAGCGAAAAGGACATGCAATTCCAATTAATGCCCGCCGCCCCAACAAAGAACAACTGATCTGCCCTCCGTCGGAGGGCATCTAGCAAGTGGGCGATCCAACTGAGCGGGTGTTAGATCTAGAACTTCCGGCGGCTGTAGCTCCTCTTCGCTCGCTGTGGAGTCGCGAGAATGGGAAAGTCTCTAGCTTGGGGGCTATACTACTTACACAAGGAACGACGACCATGTACTACTCGAGCGCGAGGGCTGTCTTTAATCTTCACGCAAAATTCACCCAGGAATGCTGATAGTGAGCCATGTAGAAAAGAGATCGGTCACAACGAGAAAGTTTTGAGCGACTTTCTTCTAGGCTGGCTTCGGTGTCTTTTGGGGCGAAAATCATATAGACAATTTGTATGGTCCAGTATTTGGTGCCCCCACTAACAACAGGGGAGAACTACTCGCTGTTGACGTAGCGCTGAAACAGGTCAGTTTTTCTTTCAACCGATGAAAACTGAAAATTTTCCTTTCAGGCAATTAAGAAAGGGTTGCCTTCAATAGTGGTGCGGACTGACTCTAAACTTCTTATTAACTCGTTAGACAATTACATGGATAACTGGAAAAGGTAGAGATAAATGTTTTGATTGCTGTAAAGGTCCTCATGCCTTTTGCCTCCAGGAATTCTTGGAAAACGTCTTTCGGGAAGGATGTGTTGAACCAAGACCTACTGCGGTCAATCGATGAAAGTACTCGTCAAATTCATGTGAGCACAACTTCCTTCAAAAGCTGAACTCCGATGTTTTGCGTTACCTGGCAACTACTCCAGTTGTGTGTAGTCCTAACAGTAACTCTTTCAAGTTCGGGTGGCT